TGAGATTTGCTTGAGAAGCATCTATGGGTGCAAGCCAGAGTTTTGTTCACTTTACCAGCTGCAACATCGCATTTGTGGCTCATGTTATTCTTGTGGTCAATCCTGACCCCCAAGTCCCTTTCAGCCGTGGTGCAAGCAAGCATACCACTGCTGAGCCTATAAGCGTGATGCAGGTTTTTCTTCCTCCAAGGTGGAGTACCTTGCATTTTTCTGTATTGAATGTCATCAGGTTTTTATCCACCCACTTTCTAAGCCTATCAAGGTCAGCCAGGATCACCAGCCTATCCTCACGTGTGGACACTCTACCCCAAAGTTTGGTTTCATCAGCGAACTTGGTTAGTCTGCTTCTGACACCAGTGTCCGCATCGTTAATAAAGATATTATTAAAGATGGAGCCTTGGGAGACACCACTGGTCATGAAGCATTATGAGGATTCACTTCCATCGACTACTACTCTCTGGGTCCAACCTCAGAGCCAGACAGTGGCTGGTAGTTGACAGAAGTGAATCATACATTCAGACACACAACATTCATACACACAAGATGCTTAGTGTATAATATTCTATCTGCCAATTGGAGGCAACATAGCTGAGGCCACAGCACAAGTGGGCTAAATGGCTAACTGGCACTCTCACTCAGCAGCACTAATTAGTCCACCCTGATTCCTCTCAGAAAAGGAATAGTGCTATAAGTTACAGTAAATTTTATATCTATTGCTGTAAGTCTGTGGTCTAAACATGGTCATAATGAACTAGGAGAAGTCCAAGTCTGTCATCATTCAGAATGCCCAATTTAGATGCCAGGTATAGGAATGATTCTTCTGAGCCTCAAAAAATAAGTTTTTAATGATGTTTATGAATAATGTAGGTAACAGTCTTGTGCTAATGAAAGCATGTACAGGTTCTCTCTTGAAATAGAAAGGGCTAAGTTCTGTCCTGCCCAATGAAATTTGCATATATTTATTTTTTAGCTGAAGGTAAATATATACTCTGAATGAAGAGTTATAGGAAATGCAAGGGCTATATTATGTATAGTATTGTTATACACATTACCTAGTTTTGACTGTGATCATTTGCAAGTATCAAGATATCATTAATCTAAAGAGGGGTCAAATTTATCTGGGGCCCTGGCCAGATCCAGACCATAGGGCTCCTTGCAGAATGGATCTAGTGGACTGGTCCAGAGGTAAAACAAGGCTTCAGCCCTGTGTTCTGCAGCAGGCTATGCCCTCCAACTTCCAATAGGCCACTGGTAACCTAGTGGGACAGGGAGACTCTGCAGGCTGGATCAAGCTGTTGGACTTTATGTTAACCCCCCTGCCTTAATTCCTGCTAATGGCTTACTTTGCAATTACAGAACCTGTAGAAAAATTAGAGGACATCATTAAAAGAAATAACAGATCTGGCAGATTAACAAAAAATGCAATGCCTGGTTACACAGGGATGAGTTTGGATTTGATCCTCAGTTGAAGCTTGAGCTGCTGCACCAGTAACAGCAGAAAAACTGGAAAATGCACTACACAAAAGTTCCCAAAGAAACCATGTGACAGGAGAGTGTGACAGACTCTAAGTTTTAAAGCAGTGGGAGCTACCCTTTTTGGCAGTTAAGCCAGAAGTTAGGCCCACACTTTTCTCAAGTGCCATTCTGATCCCCTTCCCCTGCCCAATTAGCTGCATTGTTTCCTGCTTCCTTCCCTCTGCTCAAATCTGCCACTCTGCTTTCTTCTCCCTGCCCTAATCTGCCTATCCAATCTCTGGTCTGTCATGTGTCACACACAGGGGCTGCCCATGCCGCTACACATGCATGCCACAGGTTGACCACCACTGTCTTAAAGGAAGCTAAGCCCAACCTTTTTCACAAGAGGAACAGCTCCTGCAACACAGGACCTCTGATGGGTAGGACTTTCAAAAGGTACCTAAGAAAGTTGAGGACCAAACTGAAATTTGAAGGGAAATAGGACACTTTTAAAACTGATACTTTGTAATGGATACAGAAAAGCTGTAGATAAACAAAACAGACAGGAGGGAAATGGGAAATTAAAGGGAGACAATTCCTATGTGCAGAAAAATAAAACAGAAAAAAATGAATAAGAAGCATGTTGTTATATTCTTCTAAGAAAGAGATAAAAGTTCTCAGAAGTGAAACTATCCTTTTTTGAAGTCTTACTGCACTGTTGAGTTAGCAACCTTACTAGTATGGGGTTTCAGAAGGAAGACAGCTTTTTCTGAATGTGCATTAATGGAACCATCACAGCACCCACAGTAGATTGAGAATTATGTTACCTTTATTTTTCCATTTGATATTACATGCATTTTACATACTAGTTTGTATTATTTATGTGAACAAATAACCACCTCCATCAAATCACTTGTATCTATTGCTGTTATGATGAAACTCAGCAGCATGCACAGGATAGGAGTTCAAAGCCATGGTTTTATCCATGAGAAACCTTGGATTTATCTGTATGAGACACATGATCTGTAAAATGACTTTCATACATACGGTTAATTTTGGTTTTATGCAGACATTGCATAGTTCATTATTAGTTTCTAGTGAAAGACTGGAGATGTATGTGGTGTCAGTGGCCTTGGAGTAGATCAAGTGACAGTGGCAAACAGGAAGATTTGAAGAAGAGGCATAACCTTCAGGGTCGAAAGGTCAGCAAGTACAGCCTGCAGTAAAGAACAAAAACGATTTGTTAAACTTGACACCTGAATCACATTTCTCTTATGGAGTTTCTAAGAAATCAGAAAAAGTTGCACCAAGCTTGCAAAGAATGATACTGACAGTAATTAGCTTTTTCAGATTTGCCTAGAAACATATGCTAATTTATATCAGTCTGTAGAGATTCCTTTTTGTCAGATTTTTCAGTCTAACATTTCAATAAAAATGACCATAAGTATAGGCAGAGAATAAACTGTAACTTTATTTTAGTTGTTAGACTTACTTCAAATATATGTGGTATCACGGGTATATAAGACATCTAACATTTCAACTTGCTTCTAAAAATAATTGCACATTATGAATCCTTATCCTGTGTCTTGAGTTGTACTTGTGAAGTAAGTCTATGACTTTAATGATGACTTAAAGTGAGTCATCCTCTTCTGATTGGAGTTTGCTTTTAAGAATTAACTTAGTTATTAACAAAAACTTTCTATAATATAAACAACATGATTTGTATTGGCTTCTTTTTTTTAAAAAAAGGAAAAAATATTTTTAACAAAATACTAGTTAGTAAAAAATAACAATCTTCATTCTAGTGGGTTTTCACATATACAACATGACGACACATATGAAGATGAAATTTCTGTGTCAATATTTGATAAAAAGCAACCTTTTAAAAGCTATGTAATATCAAAAAGGCATAGAAGCAGCTACCCTTTTAATTCTTTTAAAAAGATGACTGTATAATGCTCCACTACATTTTTAAAGTATATTTTAATACAATCGGGGATATGAATATAGAACAGATAAAAGTAGGTGGGTAATTCACATCTGACCAAATAACTCAGCTACACTATATTATTGATAACAAAGATAATATTTTGCATGTGCCAGAAAAGGAATTTTACTCAATTTCCTTTCCATTTTTCCTGAACATATGAATTGAAGCATAAAGCTGCGCATTGCATAGCACATCCATCTGAAGCTTAAATTACTGCAGCTGGCAACACATCAGAAACTATTTCAATCTCCTGTAAGTGAAACATATCCTTACTTCAGCTGCAGCCAGTGATGTCACCTCCATCAGGTTCACTGCTCGGAAAGCAAACACAGCAGCTGCCAGGACTGAAAAAGAATGTATGACGTATAAACTACTGACCTACTAATTAGTTGTTGGAATTAATTCAGGATCTAAAGTACTAACTTTCTTTTTGCAGTCATTATTTTGTTTGGGAAGCATAATACAAAATGTATTCTAGCATTCTAATTCTTGTCTAAAAGATCCATAAAGATGTGACTATATTCCTTGGACAAGCAGAATAAGCCTGCATTTTAGATTAAGGATGTGGATAGTGTCCTGCAATGGTTTCGCCATATACTTAAACTGGAATAAAATAGTGCTCACTTAGGTGCTAAGAGATGAGTGTAAAGACACACTGACTTAAATCAGAGCTGTCCAATTTGTAAGGGTGTTGCAAGCCACAGGGGCTGCACCAGTGTGGGCTAGGTGCCCCTGGGGCCAAATGCTGCTTGAGTGCACTGCCCCCCTATGCAGGCACTCCCCCCATCTCCCCGCTATTCTGCACAGTGCTTCGTGTGGATATTACCCCCTTCCCAACTGTGCTGCACTGAACTATGCACAGACACTCCACGCACAGTGCTGCACCGACCATGCCATGTGCAAGTACTCCTTCTACACAATGCTGCCTGCATGGGCCTCTGACCCCCTCCCAGTTCCCTGAGCTGCAGCTGCACTGCCATGGCCTGCACCACCTGGGGGGAGGAGAGGGGAAAAGGAATGAAGGGGAGGGGAGCCTGGAGCTCTCAGTTGATTCTGTGGCCAGTGCAATAGGGAAACAGCATCAGTGTGGGAGCCCAGGGGCCTCAAATTAACCCCTTAGGCAGCATGCAGCCCATGGGCCAGGAGTTGGATAACCCTGACTTAAATTATGACAAAACGAGTCACTCATCCCACAGAAGTATGAGTTGTGGTTTCATGTAGGAAACAGGAAAGTACCATGTATCCTCGAGTTGCTTCCAACCCCATCTTCCTCTCTGAGTTAACAGTTGGCAGCTCTGAGGTACAAAGTTTGGGAATCCCCCCCGCCCTTTGACTTCCACAGGTTAGCCACCCAACTCCCCAGCAGCACTGAGCAAGAAGAGGGAGTCATGTTCAGCTCCACAGAGCAGCAGGACAGATGCTTCCTGTAAGAAGCTCATTGACTGAGGGGAGGGGAGTTGGGAGTCCAAGAAGTGTGGTAGTTC